GGGCTAGGTGGGTTGGCCCAGTTGGATGGCCAGCTGGGCCGAGGCCCAGTGAGGGGGGGGGGGCTTTTAACTTCTTTTGTTTTCTTCTGTTTTTATTATTTTTCCCTTTTCTATTTTATTTATTTTAGTTAGCGAAACAGCTTTACAAAAATATAACCCCTACTCCTAAATTAGCATAACAACATAGGCCACCTACTCTAAAAAGTTTGGTGATTATATAAACTAGATTAACATTTGTTTAGTATTTAAAAACATTTAAAATAATTGTTTTGCTGCTGTTTTACCCATCTCATATTATTTAAACATTTTATGCATGTGTGGTTTTCCCCCCATAATTATCTATGCAATATTTGGTTCACTCCGAACATTTTAGTTTTAATATTTGAAAGCTTTTATTGTTTGCCTATTTTTCTTAATTTGAATTTGAATTGGTTTCGAACTAACTCGAGATTAGCAACTATAAACGAGGTGACGTGGCGTCATTAGCAGAGGGTCACTGTAGCTTAATTACCCGGGCGTCACAGTAGGTGCTACGCATGACAGATTTTCCAAAGACTTCAAGTTGTGTCGGCTGGTGGTACTTGGCAGCATGATGCCGAGGTGCATCAGTGGTGATCGTGACGTGCACAGCTGTTTGCGCGCAGGGAGGAGGTGCCATTGGGTGTCGTGGTGACGTCGACGATAGCTAGGCCGAGCAAGGTTGATGCATCAGTACAGTTCTAAAGATGGAGAGGTGGCCGTTGGCGGCGGCCGCCTCTGAGAGCACGCCGGACCGGCGAGACCCATGCCCGGCAGGCGTCCTGGATGGGTCTTCAGGTCTTAGATGTTAGGTTTGGCTTCGATATCTGTTTGGTATTAGGCCCAGACTATCTGCGCCCCTTCATCAACTGGATAGGTGTAGCGACAGTTTGTTGCTTAGACGGCAGCTTTAGTCTTACTGTAATATTACTTTGTAAGGTCTTATGAGAATAATTAATAAAGTGGTCGTATGCATGGTCCAGATGCAGAGATCGGGGGTCATCCTCCTTTTCTAAAAATAAAAAATTTAGGATTATATGTACAGTATGACATTGAACTATTTGGGAGGATCTGATGTTTATTTTGTCTATTTTATTGTGCAAGTTTTGTTTGAATCTTACTTTAAAATTATGAATTGAAATATTGTTGAATTATGTGTGGTTCAAACATAAAATTTAATTATTATTCTCTCTTTTCAATGTGGATTTTTTTTCTGAAAAGTCAAAACTGATCTATGTTTGACTAAGTTTATTAAAAAATGTTCATATCCAAAAATACCAAATCAGTATCCATAGATTCATCATAAAATATATTTTTATAATTTATTTATCTGTATTATACATGTTGCCACTTTTTCTATAAATTTGTTCAAACATATAATTGTTTGATTTTTTTTAAATATACCTTATATTTTGGAACAGAGAGACTATGATGTGAAATTGGAGGTGAAATAAAGTTCACATGCACAAAGAGAAAATATTTATATGAAGAGCAATTTAGTGAGTTTAAGGAAATAGTGCACAATAAAAATGTTGAGATGATTTTAGAGGGCTCTATAACCATTATAGATGTTGCCTTGTTAGAAAGTCTATTAGAGTTGCTATTAACCTTGAGAACATTTCGGTTTCTGTTTATTAGAGGCACAAGTGAAATAGTTCTAAGAAAATCAAGGAATACATTTGGGTTAAGTTCTAAGGAAATCAAGGAATATATTTGGGTTAATCAAGGATGAGGTTGTATTGTTTTCAATTTGTTGAGCATGTGCGTATGAGAGACCATGGATGGGCTCGGCTCCTAACTCAGGGGCGGGAGCATGGTGCCCGGCCCAAATTCAAATCATGTGGGTGGAATTTGCTTTGCAGATCGAATTTGAAGTGTCACACCTTCGTTCTGTGTACGCCCAAGTTCAAGCAAGCGGAGCACGAAGGGAAAGAAGACGACGAAGAGGGCCAAGAAATCAGCAGAGGTTTCCATGAGTGAAAATCTTGATGAAATGATCAATGCAAGGAAAAAGTTGGCGGCTCAGGCTATGCAAACAAGGTTGGAGCTGGCAGTTCAGAAGCAACATGAGAAGTTAACAAGGTGGCGGGCGGTCAAGAAGAATGAGGAGAGAAAGTTTAAGAAACGAGATAAATATGAGGAGCTGGCTTGCGGCCATGGGCACGGAGCCTCTGCAAGGCTGGCTTTGAGGAGCATAGGCCTTTTGAGGAGGACATGTTTGAGGTAGAAGAGTCATAGGGAGGAAGCAATGATCATGCTTATGGCCCCAACTTGGATGGATGACAAGGCAAGAGCCCATGGGAGATCGGGTGGGCAAAGATGTTGCCTTTCAGGATAATGTGGGGGCAACGAACACTTTGATGAGGGAGTGATAGTACAATGGCATTGTGTCATTGTGTTGCACTCTAGCACTGTGGGTGATACGTTTGGTTGATGTTCTATTTGGATGATGTGTTCAATTTGATGATGAACTATTTGGGATGATTTAAGGTGTATTTGGTCTATTTGTGGGTTGAATGTTAAATTATGTGTGGTTCAAACCAAAAAACTTTGAATTTGAAATTGGAGTTTAAATGGAGTACATGCGTAGAAAACATAGAAAGAGAAAAATAAGAGAAAAACAATAGATATAGAGGAGTCTAGTGAGTTTGACAAAATAATGCACTCTAAAAGTAGTGAAATGGTTTTAAAGGCTTAAGAGCATTGAAATGATTTTAAGGGCTTCTATAATCATTGAACAATAGATAGTATATTACAGTTGTTTCCCCTGGAAACGATTTGTGGAGCTCTGTTTAGAGCCACAGCCGGCGTCATTGTAAGAAAACCATAGGATTTGTTTGAGTTACGGTGTGTTTGGCTTGAAAAATCAGGATGAAGTTGTATTGCTTTTCAATTTAATGAGGTGTTTTGGCACATCGATTAAAAAAAGAAATCCCACAAGTCACAAATAAATGTGCATTTCATCAGTCAATTTCACGGGAATATTAGGTGCTACCGCACCTTGTGTGCTCCCATGATATTATTTTACAAAAATCATATTTACACGTTCTAAAAAAATCTGAACAAATTTGTGAGCGTTCACAAGACATGTTTCTACAATCTGTAAATAGTTCAAATAAAAATTTAAATGAACATAAAAAGACAAATTCAATATGAATAGTGCCACAAAAAGCCAAAAGCCGAAACGACACCATTCACACTCAAATTTATTTTTTTATGCGTATTTTGAATTTTAACTTAAAAATTTACAGAGAGTAGACACATGTTTGTCAGCACTCACAGATTCTTTTAGAATTTTTTTAAACTTGTATATATATTTTTTAATCATACTGTATCATGGTAGCACTAGTAACACTTGATATCTACCCTCAATTGCACGAAAAGTGCCTGCAGCTCCCGGTCCCCATTGCTCTTGGTATTTGAAAATTTAGAAAAAAACACTCTTTTCTTGCTAAAAAAATCTTAAATCAAATACGTGAATACATACACACATTCCTAAGGCTTAGTAAAAATCTGAAAAAGAAATGCTTTGTATTTTGAGAAATATAAAAAAGAGAAATTTCTGGCATACATGGGATCCATTTTCTCCTATATACTATCAGATTTTTTTTTCCTATAGCTCAAAACAAAACGAGCTTTCTACCAAAACTTTTCATGGGTATTCGGAATGTGTATATGTATCCCCGGAAAAATTTCAGATTTTTTTGAAACTTCAAAAACACAAATTTCGAAATGTTTAAATATAGGGAGCAGTGGAGCTCGGGTGCTGCAATCCCTCTCTCTCAATTGCACCGCTACTTGGTGGGCGATCCAAGGTAGTCACATGGGATTCTGGAAAGCCGCTGGGCCGACAGACCGGGTAGCCGCCCCCCAAGGCGGACCGCGGCAAGCTGCTCGCCAGGTGCGTCGACCGGGCGCCGCCACGAGACCGGCGCCGGACCACGGCAAGCTGCTCGCCAGGTGCGTCGACCTGGCGCCGCCACGAGACCGGTCCGCCGCGTTGCGTGTCGCGCGCGCCGTGGCTGGCTGGACACTCGAAACCCCCTCGCCGCTTACCTGCACGAGTTTAAAATGGAGCCCGCCCATGAACTCGATCTCCTTACTCGATGCCCTGCAAAGCAAAGATGGCCTCTGTACAGGTGCAACGGAAGGTTTGCCTTGGCGCTGATCCCTGCTTGAACGGCTCCGCCAAATGCCTACATCTACATGCCATGTCGACAAGATTTGCGTGCGCACTTTGCTCATTGATGGTGCTCTCGTCCCTATGTATGTCTCTAGGTTGGAAACCAAGACGACGGCCTCCATGGCGCCGAGCAGGAGGCGGTGCGCGCCACGGGGAGAGGCAAGAGCAAGGCGTCGGCGCGGAAGGTAACCTACGGCTTCCACCTGGTGGAGGGCAAGATGCCGCACGGCATGGAGGACCGCCACGTGGCCGAGTTCCGGCGCCTGGACGACGGCAACGAGGTGGGCCTCTTCGGCGTCTTCGACGGCCACTCGGGCGCCGACGTCGCCACCTACCTCCGGAACCACCTCTTCGACAACATCCTCGGCGAGCCAGACTTCTGGGAGGACACCATGGGGGCGATACGGCGCGCCTACCACCGCACCGACAGGAAGGTGCTCAAGAAGAAGAAGGTGACCGCCGACGGCGAGGAGATAGTAAGGCCACGCCGCGGCGGGTCCACGGCGGTGACGGTCATCCTCCTCAACGGGGAGACCCTGGTGGTGGCAAACGTGGGGGACTCCCGCGCCGTCGTGTGCGAGAGCGGCAGGGCGAGGCAGCTCTCCGTGGACCACGAGCCGCTTCGGGAGCGCGACGCCATCGAGAGCAGGGGAGGCTTCGTTACCGAGATGCATGGTATGGTACCGTGAGACTCAAAATTTTGTACCATGAAAATGGTGATGATGTTGCTTATGCGTGCATGTATGAATGAATTGATCAGGGGACGTGCCTCGCGTGGACGCGTCGCTGGCGATGTCGCGGGCGTTCGGTGACCGGAAACTCAAGGAGCACATCAGCTCCGACCCGGACGTGGCCATCGAGCACGTCGGGGACGATACGGAGTTCGTCGTCGTCGCCAGCGACGGGCTCTGGAAGGTGATGTCCAACCAGGAGGTGGTGGACGAGGTGAGGAGCACGCGCGACGCCCGGAAGGCGGCGGTGAAGCTCGTGGATGCGGCTGTGGACCGGGGTAGCAAGGACGACATCGCTTGCGTTGTCGTGCGCATCCATTGACCTGCAACGATGATATACGATCATGTGTTTGTTCTGTGGTGCGTAGAACCAGTTTGTAGAAGGGAGGTGAGCTGAAGTGTTTGCTGTGAACTTACAGAAAGGAAATGCACTGGACTGTTTGATGTAAAATTCTTGCTGAAGTTCAAATTCCAGTAGCCTACACAGCACTTTTGTGAAATTCCTTCAGCTCTTAAGAAAAACCTCTTAAATACGTAACTTCATACGAAGTTTCAAATCTCGTTTGTTGCTGGGCCTAAGGCCTCCTTTGCTTTGGTGGGTATAGCACACATGCTCGTGCGTTGCAACGAGAGAGATTTCTTACGAGAAGCATCAGGAGAGATAATTGATGTGTCCATTAAAACGGTCTCCACACTATAGTGGAACGATACAGTGAAGAGCTGTGGTGTTCTCGCAGGTCATGTTTGGCCCGACAGATCTTTAGGGCATCTCCAGCAGTTTGGCCCCAAGGGCATGAAAAAGCGTCGCTTGGGGGCGAGCCGATGTTATTTTCGGTGTGGGGGCGAGCACGTTCCCAGCCGCCGCCCCAGAGACGCCCTCACAGTTCGTCCAAATTTAAACAAATACGGCCAAATTTGAACAAACACGAGCAAATTTAGACGAAATTTAGGCGTTTTTTACACAAATAAAAGGGACGAAAAATACCTAAACTACGGCTGATGCTTCTCCTCCTTGACACGGCAGTTGCTCGACCCCTCGCCTCGGTACGCTGCTTCACTCGAGCGGCGGGTCGTTGCCGCCCTCGACGTGTGCGAGGACGCCGCTGAGCGTGCGGTCAGGGACGCCCCACCACAGGCGGCGGCCCTCGCTGTTGTTGCGGCCGCGCGGCATCGACGCGTTGTTGGTGGAGACGAGCCGCTCCTCCTGCCGGCGTTCGAAGTACGGCGCCCACGCCGCGTGGTTATCAGCGGCGTACTCTAGGAGCGCCTGCTTCGCGGCCGTCAGGGACGCCCGCGCACGCTCGATCTCGGCGTGGAAATAGGGCGTCTCAGGGACGGGCAGAGGAGGGCAGGGACCCCGCCGACGCTGAGCCTTCACCGCGACGGAGCGCGTACGTCGGGTGACGCGGGGTAGTTGGCCTCGTGGAGGAGGTAGGCCTCCCGCTCATGCAGCGAGCGGCGGCGGAAACCGTTGGTCACCGTCGCGTCGCCGGGGTACCTCGCGCTCATGGTTGCCGGGGGAAGAGAGGGGGGCTCGAACGACGGAGAGAGGGGAGGAAGTGCGGTAGCGAGGAGGGGGGGACTGCCGATGGATGGGTGCCTCACCGGCGCGGCCAGGGACGGCTTTTATAGCGGCTCGGGGGCGGCCGTGTGCGAACGCGTGGCGGAAGGCGGGGCGGCATCGTCGCACTTTGCCGCCCGTGAATCAATGGCAGGCTGACCGGCGGCAGCCTTGGCATTGATTTCCCGCGGGAAAATCGAGACTATGAGGATGACCACCCTTCGTCTCGCTGACGCGCCGGTCCCGCCACTCTTTCGCGCCAAAACGTTCGCGTCGGCGCCTCGGACGCTCCCCAGCGCGCTGGGTTCGGGTTGGGTGCGCCGACGCTAATTTCAGTCCAATCCGGCGAAAAACAGACTCGTGCGGGCGTGACTGGGTCGATTTTTCGGCGCCGGCGCTAAAAAACGGTCTTGGGGGCGCCTGTTGGGGACGCGGCTGGAGATGCTCTTACAGTAGTGGGGTCATGAGTGGCGGCCACTACCCAATTCATGTTTTTTTTCTTCAAGTCCGCCTCCTTGTCGAGGTTTTATGGTGACCTTTTGATTTTCTTAAACATGTGACCATTTTTTTTTCCGAAAAAGTTAATTTCTAGAGAATGGAAAACAAAACTTGAAGTAGGAAAATTTTCTTGAATTTACAAACACTTTTTGAAAACAGGACCATTTTTAAGGCGGAGAAACGAACATTTTTCAAATTTGTGAACAAAATTTTAAAATGGAAACTTGCTTTGAACATTAAAATAAATTTTCAAAAATGTCTTTTTAATCAAGAATATTATTTTGAATTTGTGAACATTTTGATAAAATGAATATTTTTCGAATTTCTATTATTTTTAAAATGAAATTTATTTAGATATCTAGAAAAAAATTTATTTTATTTTTGAAAAAATGCGAACATTTTTTCAATTTGGAAACAAATTTTGGAACGAAAATAAAATTTCAAATTTCCAATTGTTTTTTCAAGTAGGAAAAAAATTTGAAATTCTAAGATTTAACAAAAAATAGTACAAAAACGAAATTTTGGAAAACTCATAAATTTAATGTATGGGAAAAGAAAAAAATAAACTGAAAGGGAAAAAATAGAAATAGAGAAAGAACACAGAAAAATCAGAAACGGGCCGGCCCAACATTGGGCGACTGACGGGAAGCTCCAACTATATGCCGTGCTGTGCGACAAATAAGGTTTCCCAGCTGTGTGCGCATGATATAAATGGGGTGGATTTTCTAGGCCTTAGTGCGTGCGGCCACGTACGAAATTCTGGACAAAACTTTTTATTTTTTAGCAGATGGACCATGAAATTTAGTACCACCTCGGATATAAGGAAAATATTTTCGGTGGTGAACGGATGAAAAAATTGAAGAAACGCACCTTACTTTATTAGTAGGTATAGATATAGATGAGTAGACTTGGTCGGTGGCAGGGTTCCTATCGATGGCGTAATAGGGAGGAGTGGTTTTTGCATGAGGGTTGTATGCTTATTTTTTTTCGTTCAAATTGAGAGTTTTTATTCAACAGAAGAACTCCTAGCATCATCAGCCAAGAGGCTGGTGAGTAGGAGAGTAGGAAGGAAGGTCTAGAACCTGTCCAACTCTCGGTAACCATCAACGAGCAGGCATGCTTCACACAGATGGACCAGTACGTTGGCAGATCTACTTACATGTTGAACAATAAATGAAGTAAAATGGGTAGCTAGCTCTCCAATCTCTAAAAATAAAGTACATGTTGAACAACAAATGAAGTAAAATGGGTAGCTAGCTCTCTAATCTCTAAAAATAAAAGTGTCACTATAGAAAGACGATTGTGGCGAGTGTTCTAGAGGTTTACAACCTTTAGGCAGTCTGTCTTCATTACCACATGTGAGAAACCTCGCAAATGTGAGAAACCTCGCAAGCTTGCAAAGATGGGAGCGCTAGAGCCTCACCGATGAATGGATTTGTCACCCCATCGTGGGGTTTACTCCAAGCTCCTATCAAAGCCGAGGCTGAACGTGCCACATCTCCTGCTCCCACCTTGTTCGAGTCCATGTTAATAGCCGCATCAGTATTAATTTTCACAGCCTCCCCTTCTGGCGGCCTCCACCCATCTCCAGGAAGGATCGAGGCATGTGAGGAAGGAATGTCAAGAACCGCCAAGTCTTCTCGGATGCGTCTCATTGTAGCAAGAGGATCAAGCTTCTCTCCATCATGTGTGATTCTGTTTCTAGAGTACCAAATTGCCCACATTACAGAGATCATTTGCGCCCTCTCCACCTCTATGAACTGACTGTCACAAATCATATCTCTAGACCATGTCTCTGGGTGCAGCCTTGGTCTTCTCACACCAAATAATGCATGTGCTTGTTCCCAGACCAACTTAGCATGAGAGTAATGCACTAAAGCGTGCATCAAATCCTCATCCATCGCAAGGCAGATGTTGCATCTGCTTATGGGTCGTATATGCCGATGTTTTAGAGTACTTTCATCGGGAAGATGCCCCTCACCACTCTCCACCAAAAGACACGAACCTTCGGCAGTACCTTGAGCTTCCACAATAGTTTCCACATCTGTTCATCGGCCTGTGAGGTATTTGTAACCGTCCCTTCATCTAGAGCGACACGTTCTTTCTGATTCACTAGAGCACGGTACGCTGATTTAACAGAATAGATGCCATTGCCTTCATGAGCCCACGCACGAAAATCCTCACCCCCCCATTGCGTAGAGGAATATTTAAGATTGCATCCGCATCGGGTGAGATAAAAACATCACGAACCAGCTGAGATCGCTAAGTTCAATTTTTCGTATCTATGAGCTGATTGAAAAATCCCAACGTTGTTCCTCCTGGCATCACCCTAGGAGCAAGCGAGGGGGTGCCTGGTATCCACTTGTCATTCCAGATGGAAATAGTAGTCCCGTCCCCGATTCTTTTGATCAAGCCCAACTGAAGAGCTTCTCTTCCGACCACTAGCACGCCAAATCGCTGAAGCAGAGTGCGGTACGGTGGCCTCCATGAAGTCACTGTCAGGAAAATAACATCCTTTCATGACTCTTGCACATAGTGAGTTGGGATTAGTTATGAATCTCCAACCATGTTTCCCCAACAAAGCCACATTGAAGAGATGTAGATCACGAAAGCCCATGCCACCACAGGCCTTAGGAGATGCAAGTTTATCCCATGAGGGTTGTATGCTTACTTTTCTAGTATTAACTAGAACAATGCCCATGCGTTCCAATAGGGTATAAATGCAACGGGATATAAATATTCTAGTACGTTAGCTTGTGATTTACCTGTCAATAATAATGTACTTGGTAAAGTTCATCAAATTCTGGCCATAAATTGTTTTAGTTAGAAGTTTGGCAAATAAATTAAAGTGGAATTGGTTCAGAAGGTAAGTAAGTTAAGGTGATTGATCTAAACTACTATTAAACAATCCAACAGGAATTTTCTTAAGTGCACCCCGTAATTACCCCCACAACATCACACGACCCATCACAACCGCACGATCAGTCCCACAGACCTGGATCTAACAGCAATCATTCATCTAAACTACTATTAAACAATTCAACAGGAGTTTTCTTAAGTGCACCCCACAATTACCCCCACAACATCACATGGCCCATCACCACCGCACGATCAGTCCCACAGACCTGGATCTAACAACCATCATTGTAACACCCCAAATTTTCAATTTGGAATGTTATACATAGGTCATTCTTGCATATCATATTTTATTGCATTTTCGTTCAGCAATCCTCGAAATCCTAAGCAACTCAAGGACCCACGGA